ATTTCCATGTGTCAGAAGTTACAATCAGAAATGTTGTTCACGAAGACATCAGATATGAGTCTTATGTGATGGTGAAAGACCAATTTAAGTCAGAAAAAAAAAAGGAAAAGAAAATCGCTTAATCAGATCTAAAAGGCTCTTAAATAAACTTAAAAATTCAGCATAAGATGATGTGATTTGGTTTTTCTCAAACAACAAAATCATTGACCAAGATCAAAATTTAACAGAAAAATGGCTGATGGTTATATACAGCCCTACTGAAGTTTCAACGGTTAACAAAATTTCCTGCAACTATCATGGCTGCCAACAATGAAGGACATGCGATGTTTCTTCACTTCTTTCCAGAAGGACTTAGAATTAAATCAGCTGCCTACATTGAGGTCCCGAAAACAGTTGTAAAGCCTTGGACAGAGAGGGTACGCAACAGAAGGTCTTATGTGTTTCAGCAAGACTTTGCACCATAACACAAGGCCCAAGTAACACAGCTGAAAAATTTTCCTGATCCCTTAACCCCTAACATTTGACCTCTTAAATCCCCAGTGCCAATCCATTCAACTACTACGTGCGGAGCGTTGTTGAGAGAGAGAGAGAGAGAGAGAGAGAGAGAGAGAGGTCAATGAACACCCCCATAAAGCCAAAGTTTCTTAGAAAGCCGCCATAGTCTGAGTAATGTCCAACCAGGGCCATTTCATTCGAGCATATAGACGATTTCGATATCGCATAGAAGCAGTTATTGAAGGTGAACGTGCCTTTATTGAATAAAATTATAAAAGGATAATGCTTATATCATTTTCAATAATAAATTTAGCAGTTATTATGTATCAGTATTTCTGTCGTTAAATATCTTACGCATCCTGTATATATATATATATATATATATATATATATATATATATATATATATATATATATATATATATATATATAATAGATGGCCACACTGTATCCGAGGATAGTCTATTAGGGTGACTAGCCAATCCCTGTTGCAGACGCTCGCTCAGGTACATTTTTTGTGTTTGTTCAACACCCACGGAGCCCACCTATGGTTTATATTGCAACTATGCTGAGCAGACCTTAGTTACAGTTTCTGGGAGAGAGCGTGATTAACAATCTGAACAAAGGCCAGCTCAATCAAACCCTCGGTCACGATGACTTGTGACTACGTGCTAGCACAGCTATCGACACCCCTCCAAGGGTTCCGCCTAGCCAATTTCACTCACAAGGCTTCGGTCAACCCGTGGTATGGTCTTCGGGCACTTTCCAAAGGTGCCGCAACCTGGGTTCGTCCCCATCCAAACCGATAACATCAGGTCAGTCAATATATATATATTAGTACAGCACACGCACGTCCACATACACGCACACAAGAAAAAACACCAATGAATAGAACATAAATTATTTATCTTAGTTTAAAAATAACGAAAATGAGAAAATTGGCAGTCAGTTACTGAAAACTCCTGACGAGTAGACCGAACGATTACAAAAAGGTACATTTACGAAACTTTGGAGAGGAGTTTATATTTGTATTAATCATATTTATACAGGGTAATTGAAAAGTAACTCCCCATTTTGAAATAATTACAATTTATTTATTAACTATAATTTTTACAAGAAATAGATATGAAAGGAAAGCATTTAGCATGAAGTTTTATTTAAAATTCTATATGGGCACCAGATTTCGATACTAGCTTCTCAAGCCGCCCAGGAATCGCATCAACTGATTCCACCAGCAACTCTTGTAGTATGGAAGACATAACTTCTTGTATTCACCCTTCAAGTTCTTCCAAAATATTGGTTTGGTATAGTATACTTGCTCCTTTAACCAACCCAAAAGAAAAATGTCACGAGGTGTTAAATCAGGACTCTTAAATGGCCACTCATACATAAAATAGAGAGTTACTTTTCAATCACTATATATATATATATATATATATATATATATTTGGGCAGCAATTTTTCATTGATGCATGTTTCATTAAATAATATAGACAAGTTTTGTCTATTTGTTTTAAGTAAATTCCTTTCATATTGTCTGATAAGCTTAATAACATTATCATTGAAAGACGAAAGGAAATCACCATATTGATACATGTTTAAATCCAATCTAAGCTTTCGGCTTACATAAGCCATTATCAAAGATGACAATTACTTTTCAATATATCAACCAATACACGGACGAAACAATAATGATAGTCTGTTTTTGTTGCATGAAGAATTTCAAAGCAACGACTAACTCGTGTATTAGATTGGATTTAAACGTATAAATATGGTGATTTCCTTTCCTCTTTCAATGATAATGTTATTAAGCTTATCAGACAATATGAAAGGAACTTACTTAAAATAAATAGACAAAACTTGTCAATATTATATTATTTAATGAAACAGACATCAATGAATATATATATATATATATATATATATATATATATATATATATATATATATATATATATATATAAGATAATTGGTAATCCGTATGGATAATTCCAGGAGGATATAAACCCTAGAGCTCAATATAATAAACAGAGCAAGTAATAATTAATTAAAAAATCAGAGACTTCAGAAAGCCATGGTAACATTTTATTTCGCGAGACCGATTGTTTTGAAACATATATATATATACGAAAATCTATTTATGTTTTTAATTAACGAGTTATAATGCGAGTGTCTTGAGTAAGTAGAACACCCCAAAAGAATCTTTTTGAAATGTAGAAGCACGTGCATTAATTATATATTTTCCCTCCAACAAAAAAAAAAAAAAAAAAAGTTAGAGTTCCGCGGTAAATTAAATCCGACGTTAAAATACGGTTTTGCCGACCGCAGAAGTGCTTTACTATTTGAGTAGCTGATCACAGTACTGGTAATTGGATGATTACTTACTGGATGGTCTTAATAAAAAAAAAAAAACCCGTACACCTCGTCATGGGAGTATAGCTAATGAGTCTAGTGCAGTTGTCTATTGGTAGTGATTTCGATCCTACCTGGGTCCTAGATAAATAAATTCGACATTAACTGATTTATGTCCATCGTCGAATTATGGGGGATTAATAGCTTGTTAGAGACCTATTAATACTGGAATTTTATTTTTATTTTTTATAATTAATGACGTGTTTTACGTTGGATATTTGATGTGTTTAATAACCTAACAAAGATAGAAAGAAAGAAATTTTCATCCCATAGATATATCTATATAAAATGTTGGCTGTTGTTTCACTTAGAGTTCGCGGAATTTACAAGTACATTACAATTATTCACGGAGTAGAACAAAACTAGACACTAAAATTATTTCGTTATCTATATTTTGTTTACCCAGCATGTTTTCTTTGAGTTCGATTTTTCGAGATTTTTCTGCTAAATTGAAAAAAAAATGGAACTCATGTTGATCTGACCAATTATCTACAGGCATTTGTTGATACTCTATCGACATGGAAAACATATTCAAACATATTCTCGCAAACAATTAAGCGCGATAGTTTTTGCGTTTGAATCAAATCCAAACATTCCAGTTGTGTTTCTCAGAGACAACGAAAGAATTTAGTTAGAGCTGGCGTTCCATATTTTGACTACATATACGTTTAACAAAGGAATGCATGTGCAGATTGTAAGTGCTGGTGTAGTAGTCAGAAAATAGTAAAAAAAAAAAAAACTGTTTTAGTTAATGATTTAGTCTTTAGTACCGGTGTGGAGAGTCTCGTTAATAATAACTCAATGCCATTCATTTACATAAGCTCGTTAGATGGGTTACTGGCAGTTTTCATCTGTCCCTCTTGACTTTAGTATGATCTGTGAGTGTCAAATTCTACAAGTCCTCTTTCCTCAATATGTGTCCCAGAAATTTCAGCTGTCTCTTTTTGATTCTTGGTGTCCTTTTCTATTTCAATCTCCCTTAAAACTTCCTCGTTGTTCACATGTTTTGTCCAAGCTATTCTTAATGTCTTTCTTTAGAATCGCATTTCTGTTTTCTGAAATCTTCTCTTTATCTACGAGGAAATCGCCCAGCATTCATTTCCATATAAACGGGTTGATATTACATAGCAGTTCAGCTCTTTTTTTTTTCTAAGGATATTAATGATATTAGATATATGAAAAAGTTACTGGCGGCCTCTCTTCTGAAAATTAGGAACGGAATATGAGATAGAAACTTTATTTTTTCTTTCGAAAACTTTTTCACACAAATAACATTGACTGAAAAAAACAGAAGGCTGATCGTCGCTATGAATACATGTGTGCTCTTCTGATATGATCAATGGCGTGTGTGTGTGTGTGTGTGTGTGTGAGAGAGAGAGAGAGAGAGAGAGAGAGAGATTCTGAAAAGGAGTATTGAAAAAGAGTGCGAGGAAGATAGAGAAAGAAGAAGTTAGATTGATTGATTTTTTTTTACGGTTTATCAACATTTTGCAGGTTGTTTTAAGAAACTGAATATGAGATAGAAACTTTAAAGCCAGAAAATATTTTTAGATTGTAAGAAGTTTTTAGAGATAATAATGATTTACTGATAGAGTCTAGATAATAATGATTTACTGATACATTCAGTTATGTGTCATGCGTGATACCCGCTTAGGCGATCATGTAACTTTTGATACATGACTGACGAGGCAGATGTTTTTTCCCGTAGTAGGTTACAATTTCTTTCTGCGGCAGACCAGCTGCTATCCAAGGCTATAGAACCCGGTCTATCCTGCTATTTACCCATAACTGGGGGAAAAGAGGATTCATACCTTTCCCAAGGGGGGGGGAGAAGAGGATTCATACCTTTCCCAAGGGTACTAGCACGGAAGTGAATGTAATAGATTCGGCTCTCCGATTCCTCAATAAGAGCCATTATCCATTATTCCATCGTGTCCCCCTTTTACTGATACAAGTCTTACTAATTAATTCATACATGGGTGGGTGAGAGAAGAGGTGGATTAATACCTTTACCAATCGTATTTAAGCGTAAGTGGATATACCGAACGGGACTGGAATTGGAATTCCGAGCCGTCATTTATTACACTGCCAGCACACAAGCGGTCACCCATTTAGGTAGTGACCAGGCTCGACGTTGCTTAACTTCGGTGATCGTACGAGGACCGGTGTTTCAAGTCTGGAGGAAGCTAAAGGTAGACAGTGGGAGACGGTAAACGAAGACATGGAAAGAGAGATAGAAAACAGAGACTGGAGAGAAAGAAGGTAAAAGCAACCATGGAAGGGAAAGGAAGGATAATTAAAAAAAAATATATATATATTTAATTTATAATCATTAAAGAAGGTCTTGACCTAGCAAAATAAAAACAAACCCCAAAACACTGTAAAAAAAAACAAAGAAAAGAAGACAATAGGGAAGTTAAAGCGGGCAGATGCTTGAAAAAAATAAAATAAATATCCGAAATGTCATCGTCCGGTCACTTCCGGACAATCTCCGAGTCACTCCATTTGACACACGTGACTTGCATTTAATCATCGCATGACAATGCTTTTTTCAAAATGGATTATTATTATTATTATTTACTAATTTTACAAATTAATATTTAAACATAGATAGCATAGTTCATTGACACCAAAAATAAAATAATTATTTTTTTCCAAAAGTATTGGCTATCGTTCGTTTCCGATTATGTCAGTCTCCTTGGATGTCTAGCTAATCCCTGTTGTAGACGCCATTTTTTTTCAACACCCAAAGAACCAACCTGTGGTTTATACGGCAACCATGCTGAGTGGACCCCAGTTACAGTTTTTAGCAGAGAGCGCACAACCTGGCGTGATTAGACTAGTACGCTCAAACCCTCAGCCATGATGACTTGTGAATTTATGCTAGCACAACCATAGACTGAAGAGTGGTAGTTTGATTGCTTTTATATCTTATATTATGTGCGGGTGGTGGAATGGATAGCGTCTCAGTTTAAGAAATCGGAGAGCCGAGTTCGAATGCTAGTTGAGTTTGTTACCTTCACATGCAACTACACACACATACAATACAACATGCGTTAAAGACAGACTAGCTACAAATGTACACGAATGACAAATGTAATCCAGTCTACATTGCAATAAAACGTCATCTACCGTAAACTTTTTGTAAGAGCTGAATACAGATATTTAGTGCACAGTGTACTACAAGAGTCTAAAACGATCCTCCTCAGGATTTTTAATTAATAGTTTTATATATATATATATATATATATATATATATATATATATATATATATATATATATATATATATAATTATTATTATTAACTTGTTACCTAGTTTCACGCTCTCGCGATCTTCAGACGATTAGAACGTTCTAGTCTGAAGATCGCGTGAAACTCGGGTAACGACTCGGGTTGTCCGTTGATAGGAGTTAACGTTGTGAAGCGTTTCTTGCTCTGTCTAGGTAATCTAGACGCTGAGCACTTTTCTTTACGACGGAGTAGGTAGGCGTTTACCTTTAGGTAATTTTCTTTTTTCTTTCCTTGTTCGAGATTTTCCCTTGATTAAGGTATTAGGGCTTTTGACAAATTATCTGATAGAGCAACGTAGTTGGCTTTTGTTTAATATATATATATATATATATATATATATATATATATATATGAAGAAAAAAATATATATATATATCTTTGGTTACAGCGATTCACTTAAATCATTGAATTTGTTTCATATTTGGCCATTGCATAGTCACAAATGATTACAGTGTAATGCTTTATTGATTTTCTGCATAAATTTTTACTGTTCTCCATTACCAACCTAAAAGTAATGTAATTTTATCTTATCGAATTATAATATATGTGATTTGGACGATAAAAATTTGTTAAAATCGATCAGCAATGAAGGACAAGTTGGTAATGATTTCCATTTTCGCTGTAAACTAAATATTGCTATTTTGAGATACGATAAATTAAAAAAAAAAATACTTAGATTGTAGTCTGTGTGTTATTGTTTCCCAAAGTGTCTAACCATCTGTCATTCAAAGGGTTAAAATATCCGTTTGTCTTTGTGGATGTGGGGAATGGAAACGTGTCTATGAGCAAAGGCTACTTTCAGATAAGTTATAACGTTTTTAATTGCTGTTGACATATTGGATTTGGAGAGACATTTTTTTATAACATAATGCTGATTTATATGTTCGATTTCCCCACTGTTTTGTCGCAAATGTCGATATGCATTTGGAAAAAAAATGCGGAACTTGTATTTGCTTCTAAAATGGGAATAAGAGGAGGAGATGTCTTTTGTGTTCGATTTGTTGCTAAGATGCAACAGGGATATTATACACACAGATGAAATGGCGTAGTCACAACAACGATTGTTTGAGATATAGAGCGGGAGAGAAAGAAGGCACTGGATGCAGTAGATTGGGGGGGGATGGATACGAAAAATAAAAAAGAAAGGAGTTTGGAAAGGATGAGATAAAGGAAGAGGAAGGTGAGAAAAAAGGTGGTGGGAAAGAGAGGTGGGCAAGTTGAAATATGAGGAGGGTGGGTTGAGGAAATTAAAGAAAAGAAAAGGGATAGGGGAAGAGAAAACGTTGTTGAGAAAGGGGGAAGTTGAAAGGAAAAAGAAAGGGAGGTAAAGGAAAGGAATAATGATGTGATATTTAGATAAGTTGGTATGTAAAAAGGACAAGAATAGAATACGTAATGAGAGAGAGCAAAAGTCATGGGAAAAGAGAGAGAGAGAGAGAGAGAGAGAGAGAGAAGACTGAATTCAACAAATGGAAAGTGATTAAAAGTGAAAGTGAGAGAGAAATAGAGGATGAAAGGGAGTGAGAGAGTGAAAGAGAGAAAGCGATAGAGAGTGAAAGAGTGAAGTCAAAGGGAGCGAATAAAACTGGCGAAGGGAAAAATCATAGAAAAAATTGCGATGAACAGAGGAAGAGATAAAAGCAGGATAAAAAAGAAAGTTATTAAACGAAAAAGAGAACGATGAAACGAAAGAAAGGTGAAGAAAGAGAGGTGAAGAAAGAGAGGTGAAGAAAGAGGTGAAGAGAGAGAGAGAGAGAGAGAGGTGAAGAGAGAGAGATGAAGAAAGAGAGATAAATGCGATAGCTGAAAAGAGTAAGCTGGAAGAAGAGAGGGGAAAGGAGGTAAAAAAGAAGAGGGGAGGAAATCAGTAAAACAAAAGAGGGAAAATAAAAGAGGAGTAAAAAGGTGTAAGAAATGAAGGCAAAGACGAGAGGCGAAAAAGAGAGGTAAAAAGATAGGAAAAAAGAGACGAGAAAAAGGGAGGAGGAAGATAAAACTTTGATAACCAAATGAATTCTATGAAAAAACTTCATAACGCTAAACACAACAGCATGATTATTATATAGGTCATGTATACAGCACTGAATAACATAATAAACGTTATATATATATATATATATATATATATATATATATATATATATATATATATATTGAGTAAGTAAACTTCACAATAATCCATTTCTTCCTTGTCTGGGAATTGGAATTAATACATTCATTTATATCCTTAAAACATAGATGCTATGAAGAAAGGTAATTTTTTATCGCAAGAGTTTCAAACATTGCCTTTGCAGGCATCAGGGATTACTTTCACCTTTTTCTTTAATTACGATGAGGTAGGTGTTGTCATGGAAACAGACCCTCTGTGCTAAGATAGGCATTTTAACTGAGAGTCAGTGTCTAAAACGATGATGACTACTGTCCTCAGGTTATAGTTATGCACTGAAACAAATGGCAACAAAATAAATAAACGCATGATTTATCTTTTCCCAGATTAATCAGCTTCTTGTTTTTGATACAATTGGAATAAAAAAATGACGGTTTTATTGGCTAGAGTTTAGTCGATATTAACCAAACTTCGTATGGTACAAGAACAAGTGGTGGTGATAATGGGGGGATCATGTTAGGTTAATCTTTAAAGTGGGTAGACCTGCCTATAAAATCAGCATTCGAAATCCTGTCTTTCATCACTGATTTTCGTTACTGGTTAACACTTTCAGGCACCGCTGTAGGCCACACCTTTTTTGTACTCATTAACCTCTTTACAAATTCCAAGCACACATACATTTCTGCGATTGCTACACGACGTAATGGAGGCGAGTGCCAATCTGCGTGGTACAAAGTAAAGTGATCGGACAGCAGGACCAACACAATAATCATTGGTTCAAGAGCGCACGTTCTGAAACATTGAAAGTGTAGGGTGGCTAGGGAACAAGAAGAAAGAAAGAGAAAAGGTTGGGGAGATGGAAAAGGGAAGTAAAAGAAGAGGAAAATGAGAATGAATTTAACTCGAGAGGGAAAAGTGAGAGATTTTGAAGAGAGAGAGAGAGAGAGAGATAGAGAGAGAGGGAGAGAGAGAGAAAGAGAAAGAGAGAAAGAGGGAGAGAGAGAAAGAGAGAGAAAGATAGAAAGAGGGAGAGAAGGAGGGAGAGAAAAAGAGAGAGAGAAAGAGGGAGAGAGGGAGAAAGAGAAAAAGAGAGAGAGAGAAAGAGAGAGAAAGAGAGAGAGAGAGAGAGAGAGAGAGAGAGAGAGAGAGAGAGGGGGGGTAATAGGAGAAGCGGGAGAAAAGCAGAACAAATCGAAAAACAAATAAAAAGATGAAAGCGAAAGAGATTATAAAAAACTTATCGGTAAATGAAAAAAGAAAGAGATCAATAGCAAACAGGATAGGGGATACAGGGCCGGTGCCTATTAACCCCGAACCCTCCGAACGGAGAAGGGGATGCCTGATTGGGGACCCCCGGCAGTGCTTTGTGACCCTCGCTATCTTATCAGCATTTACTTTTTCTACCTACATTTATATACGTTACAAATTAAACTAAGTACAACTGACTATTAAAGGATAAAAAGATTTTTCATGGATTTTGATTTTCTTCTGTTTTTTTAAACGTTCAAATCCGTGAATTTGTTTTCCTTATGCTAAGTCTCGAGAAAAGACAAAATAAAATTCACTATTTTTATCCATAATGTTGCATGAGTTAAATTTATTCAACTTTTTAATAAGAAAAATTTAAGGTTGATGTTAAAAATTTCTGCAAAACATTGTCGATTTATCTTACTTATTATAAAACGCAGATTGTGTGTGTGTGTGTGTGTGTGTGTGTGTCTGTAACGTTTATATATTGGATCGGATTTCCTACATTTTTCAACCGATTTCAACAAACTTC